TGTAACTAAGCCATATTTTTTTAGTAACATATTGATTATCGATTACATAAATGAAATATTTTTATTATAGTTTGAATCAATATGTTGCAATTTGTTAAATTGAATTTAAAAATACTTCCAAAGTTCGCTTTGACGCAAGTGATAGTATAATTAAAGGACTTATCTTTTAGAAAAAAAGAGCATTATTATAGCAAAAAAATTTGGTTTAGTAACTCAGAAATCATAAATATTATAGGATATTATTATACAATAGTTATTTGGTTTCTTTTGCAAGAGGAAAAATATAAAAAACCAAATATTGAATCCGATATCAAAGCTTAGTACATGCGATAAATTGAAAAGTAATGTGTTTTTAAATTTTTGATTTTACACCTTGCAATACTTTAATTTTAACAATTATTTAAATATTTTATTAAGCATAAGCCAGCTAATATGTTACTAAAAAAATATGGCTCAGTTACATATAATAAATTAACTAAAATAAAACTGTGCAATACTTTTGTCCTCCCCCAGTATATAATACCATGTTCTCTAGAGACCCAAATCCCAAAAAAATAAAAAGCTCTTTATAATGTGGACTGACGAGTAACTTTGAGTATTGATTAATAACCGCAAAGAAAATAACAAAATGTTTCATGAAATAGCTGAGAATTTTCTGAAAGAAAAGTCTTCACAAAAATCAACCTTTGTTTTGGAACATCTTATACTGGTGCTTATTGTAAGGAAAAGTTTGAGAATCTCAAATGTGATTGTAAAGTATGTAAAAATCCTTCTGAAATTTCTGAAGCCTCAATCATGTACAGGCCTGATGCCAAAACTAATTTATCTTTTCTATTTAGCATATGGAAGCATACATCGATGGTAAAGCCAATGGAAAAAAGACTAAGAACGATCTCAAGTATTATGAGGAATTCAAAGAACAGTTCTGAAAAATGCCAGGTAAAGATTAGTTGATCAGAGGAAGGAAATATTTATAAGAAGATATACTAATCCCCTAATACATTATTTTACTATAGTGACTGACTATGATCGGCTCCATGAACAAAATATTGCAAGAAGACATCAAACCCCACCACCGCCATATGAAGAAAATGGAGGTTCTACCTCACAAGTATCACCACTACACTCGTAATGATAGGAATAATTATATCTAGCTATTAGTATTTTTCGCTGTAGTTATTTTATATTGCTAGAAATCACCCAATACTTGTATAATGTGAATACAAATATAATAAAAATAATATCATCATTTTTGAAGGAAAATTAGCTGAGAGGCGCTTTGCATGAATTAGCTTGACTACTTTTTTCCTTGTGCTTCTGCCTCACCTCTATCTCTTTCTGCAGGTTTAGTAGAGTGTCAAACCTTAGGCAGATTGCAAGAGGATCATCTTCCGACCTAGTGAGATCAAATACAATAAACTCATCTTATTTGCGAAGATGGCTATTAATGACTATTGATGCATTTTTTACATCATCGGTATAGTGTCTAATAATTTTAGAGATATTTTCATACGAGCTACCAGAATTAAAAAGTACTAAGTAATTGGCATTTTCACGTATAAACATATCTATTTTATGATATTTCTGTGCTACATATATGCAGTGATGTGCATTTTATGCTTCCAATGGTAAAAAATTTGATTGTAAGCTTCCAATCCAAATAATTTTATATATAAATTATGCTTCCAAACCTTCCAAAAGTGCTTTCAAAGGTGCTTCCAATCTTCCAAGTGCACATCACCGCATATATGCATGAAATATTCTGATATCGACCATTCCCAAAAAATTAGCTGATTTGTTTCTGTACATGCTTTAGAGCAAGACATAAATCCTCAAAAATAATTGCTGTTTCTCTCAGGCGAAAATGATCTTGTACTGGGAATTTTTTCAGGTGAGATGTATTTGAAAGTAATATTTTCATAGTAAGGTGCTTTTGGGTCTTTTAAAATTATGCTATACATATGTCTTACGAATGCCCATTTTGGTTCATCAGGATGGTAACTGCAAACTATCAAATCATTACATGCAATATATCTAGACCCGCCTTTTTTACCTTTATATATACATTCAGGTATATCACTAAGAAAAAGATTCGCTAAAATATTAGTCTTACCTGTTCCACTTATTCCTGTAACTACCATACTAAAGGGTAGTCAGGACTCACTTCATGACCTTTCACCTGAGATGACGTATGCTTAGTGACCTTATACATATCTATAACGTAAAGTTTCATAGGAGGTAGTTTTGTATTTTGGTTCTTATGCGTATTGGATTGGGAATCCATAACTCTGATTTCTATTTGTGGGTATTGTATATTTCGGAAAATTTTCTTCCTTTTTATCAGAGCGAAAAAAACGTTTATATATATACCATATAATTAGTATAATCACTAAAGTAAGTATCATAAGTTCGAATATAGGCGGAAGCAAATACTGATTATCAACTAAAGCCTTATCAGCTCCTAATACAACAATGGGCGAGGCTAAGATACTATCATGTTTTTCTTTTGATTTTTGATCAACATGAAGATGGTCTCCTTAGGACCCTATCTCATCTTTTACTATGCTTTCATCAGGTTCAGACTCTGAGCAGTGTGAAGAAAAATGGGATACCTCTTTTACTGCTTCACCTCGCTTAGCCAAAGACACTAAAGCATAATCATTGGATGATAAAACTAGATCTACTTCTGCACTACCTATTTTTGAATCATTAATTGACTGATGTGATTGCAAAATGATCTGATCTAGTTCATCTTCCAGATTACTTACCCTAGACCTGAAACAGAAAATTAATCCATCTTTAAATGATGAATTTTGCGTAACTTTCTCCAATTCATTTTCCAATTCCTTTGCTTTAATCTCAAGAGAAGGATTGCTACACAACTGGTTAGTATCATAATCTATTAATAAAACTTTTTGCGTAGCTTATTTCAACTCAGCCTCCAGTTCATTTATTTTAGTTCCAAGAGAGATGATATCAGAATCCTTCAAAGATGAAACTTTTTGCATTGAAGATATTATGCTTTCCAGTGATTTAACTATAGACTTTAGCGATTCTATTTCTTTTAACTGCTTGGCATTAAGATTAGCATGAGACTTTCGTTCGTAAGTAATTTGAGAAACAAGCTTATTATTCAAACCATTTAGTTGATTAGCTAGAAGGGTAATTTGATTTATAGAATTATGCATATGCTCATTTTCCTCATGTTGGTGATCTAGATCATTTTGCATACATTCATTTTCCTCATGCGAGTGATCTAAATCATTTTACATACACTTATTTTTTTCATCTAAGACATGATATTTAGTTAAAAGCTGTTTGGCAAATCTTATAAACCTTTTGCAATCTTTTTTTAGCTGTTCTTCAAACTCTAAATGACTAGGCAGATATCAATTGGAAGGCTTTCAAGTTTACTGCTATCACTATTATTTATATCATTTATGGTATAGATTCGAGGCATAGTTTTTTATCCTCATAAATATATGCAAAAAAAAATAATTTTTGAAATAATAACATTTATCCTAAGTATCCTAAGTATCCTAATTATCCTAATAAATTTTTTTGAAATAATATATTTATCATATTTATCCTAATAAATTATTTTCAAAATAATAGGGTTATCATACTTATTCTAAATATTAAAAGGAATACACTTATC